GGAAGGAGTCAAGACTGAGAATAACGATCATATTAATTTGAAGGTGGCGGGGCAGGATGGTTCTGTGGTGCAGTTTAAGATTAAGAGGCATACACCACTTAGTAAACTAATGAAAGCCTATTGTGAACGACAGGGTTTGTCAATGAGGCAGATCAGATTCCGATTTGACGGGCAGCCAATCAATGAAACAGACACACCTGCACAGTTGGAAATGGAGGATGAAGATACAATTGATGTGTTCCAGCAGCAGACAGGAGGTGTCTATTAAAAAGGGAAGCTGCTACTTTACTCCAGAACTCTCTTCCTCCAGACCAAGAAGACATTCTCAATTAGAAAACCGCAATTTGGTTCCACCGCGTCCTGACTACTACAGTATAGTTTTCTCTATTCTTTCATTTTCCCCTTCCCCATTCCTTTATTGTACATAAAGTAACTGGTGTATGTGCACAAGCATATTGCATTTTTTTAAACTAAATGGCCAATGGTATGTTTTAATTGACATCAAATGGAGATGGGATAGGGAAAAAGACTGGTTCTGTGAAAATACCCCCTTTCTCCATTAGTGGCATGCTCATTCAGCTCTTATCTTTATATTCCAGTAAGTTATTTTGCTCTCACTGTTTAACAAAAAAAAGAACAACATAAAAATCCTTGCATACCTTGAAAAAAAAAAAAGCCACTTTTCTATTTGCATAAGATTTTTTTTTTAATCAAGGTAACTGATTTGTAACATTAAATTTCAGGTGTACATCATTATATTTTGATTTCTATGTAGACTCCCTTATGTTCACCACCCAAAGACTAATTACCATCTGTTACTGTACACGTGTCCTTTTACTCTTTTCGCCCTCCCCGCTTTCCCATCTGGTAACCACCAATTTAAACTCTGTATCTATGTTTGTTGTGGTGGTGGTTTAATCTACTACTTATGAGTGAAATCATATGGTATTCGACTTTCTCTTATTTCGCTTAGCGTGATACCCTCAAGGTCCATCCATGTTACGGCAAATTCAAAAAAAGATTTCATTTTTTTTAATGACTGAACAGCATCCCATTTTGTGTATATATATATCACATCTTTATCCATTCATCCACTGATGAACACTTAGGTTGTTTCCAAGTCTTGGCTATTGTGAATAATACTACAATGAACATAAAAGTGCCAATATCTTTTCAAATTAGTGTTTTCGTGTTCTTTAGATAAATACCCAGAAATGGAATAGCTGGATCATATGGTATTTCTATTCTTGATGTCTTGAGAAATCTCCATCCTCTTCTCCATAGTGGCTGCACCAGTTTGCACTCCCACCAGCAGTGTATGAGGTTCCCCTTTCTCCACATCCTCTCCAACACTTATCTCTTGGCTTGTTAATTATAGTCATTCTGACAGGTGTGAGGTGATATCTCACTGAAGTTTTGATTTGCATTTCCCTAATAATGATGCTGAACTGTTGAAAAGCCACTGCTATAAACAACCATTGGATTTGAGACAGACTGTGTCAACAATATGCCCCTTTACAGCACATGGAGTTAGGTTACCCCAGGGAGGGACTCACATCTCCAAGATGCAAACTTCACCTTGGTGAGGAACCAAATGACGCTGGAGACATCCAGAAGAGCATAAAAGTCTTGGCACAAGCCTTGCCTACATCAGACACAGTTAGTTCTCCTAAAGCAGGTTTTGCAACTGCACTAGTTGGTGTGTAGTACTGACTGGGATCTTTACTACAGTCGGAGCTACTAGAGAGCAGGAATATCACCATAGAGAGCAGAACTGTTGGGATCAATGGCCCTAATTTTTCTTCAAGTTTTTAAAAGACGGCACTTGAGGCAGCAGATTCCCTAGGTCTTCCCAGTGGTGGCAAAGGCCAAGCTGACGTAGAAGGTTTCATGATCAAGAGCTATAAAACATCTTGGAGAGAGGAGGAGGCGACAGTTTAGAGTCTACGGGGCAACAACCACCCGTTCCCTCTCCTGTTCACAGGGGGAGGAGGAGATTTGACATTAGCACTTCATTCCCCTTTCTACAAACTGAGGGTGCCATGTCCTGTTTCCACTAAGTTGAGAAATAGTGATTATCTCCTTTCTGACATTTGCTAAGCTACTGGACCAGCCAGCACCACATTTTCCTGAGACAAGGAGAAAGAAGCATGAATAAAAAGAGGGAAGCAAGAGAGAAGAAGTGCCTAATGAATACCCACCATTTAGTTTAACAACACACGGCTTTCCTGTAAGTTGAAGTGACACCATGAAAAGTGGCAGGACTGAGCAGACTTGCTGATATACCCCACACACACCCATGAGTAGAGTAGTGAAGCCAGTCACCTTCCACAAGCAAACTCATGTGTCCTTCCCATCCCAGATGGTGGGGACCCAGCAGTAAAAGGCTGTGGACTAGACTGCCTTGGGAATTAAGCAGGTAGAGAGAGAAAGAGGTAAGATTGTCAAGCCAGGGGTCTATGATAGGAAATCCCTAGAGAGCCCTCACGGAACAATAAACATAACCAAACGTGCTGCAGAAGAGCCAGTATTTGGACATCTGATTCATGGATGGAACCAATAGACACATCACCACCACAACAGAAAGCAAAATGTGAGACCTTGCTTGTCTGTTTTTCCTCTCTGGGTGTTGCTGGAATATGCCTTTAGCTGCCAAATAACGACAGTGATGGATCACACATATAGCATTGTTTTCACTCTTCCTCCAAGTTTTATTCACCCTTAATTATAAAGCTGGTGTTGCTGTCAACATTCCATACATAAGAAGTATGACTGGAAATGAAAAATAAATAAAACCCCAAAAAAGATATGTGGATCTAAGAGAATGTAGATTGAAAAGGGCCATAAAAATCCAATCCTTTAGAAATACAGTAAGAATTAACTTCATTTGATAAATCTACATTTAAAAAGTAAATAGGTTTACATACCCAAGATACTGAAAGGAAAGACGGCCAGGGGAAAAGGTGGTCACAGACCCTGTTGTTTGGAAGACGAGAGACCAAGAAGTTGTAAATGCTCTATTTGAAAAAGGGAAAGAAACTGGGCTTTGGTTAAGAATTCAGCCTAAAAGGAATTCTTCTGATGCAGGGTCAGTGAGCGGAGGAGTCGAAAGAAAGATTTCTTGGACTCTCAAGATCTGGCAGTAGTGCTCTTTTTATTTAGAGAGTAGTGTGGAATAGCATGGGGACAGGACCCATGGGCAGTCAGAGCTGCTGCTGCTGCTGCATGGGGACAGGACCCATGGGCAGTCAGAGCTGCTGCTGCTGCCCTGAGTTGAGGGTTAGGGCTAATTTTATAAGGCATGGGTACGTGACTTATTTTTATTGGAAAAAGAAAAGATGATGTAAAAAGTCATTAAATGATTTCAGTGCAGATGGGGTCTGGTTATTGTGCGGTCATATAACTTTTAGATACGAATCTGGCCATATAGATTGGCATGTAGGTGAGGATGCCCTGGGTTTCTCTCCCTGGGGCAGCCCTAATTCATATCATAAAAAAAATCCACCGGGTCATATAGTTTGGCATGTAGGCCAGATCACCTTGGGCTTCTCTAGCTGGGGCAGCCTTAATCCACATCACTTCCACTCTTTCAGATGGCTCCATTATGACCATCTCCAATGACAAAGATCTAGCCTCTGCAATTATCTAGTTCACCTTGCCCTTGGACTATCAAACAAGCTGGTCTGCAATAGAGACTAGAGATAAAAGCCAGAAAAGCAGCTGTTCTTGGCCCAGAAGGCTGCTGGCCAATGGGATTCCCCATAACCTTCAAGTAGGTGTTAAATACTGCCACTACCTAAGTGGAGAACAGAATATTCAGCATGGGGATTGCACATGACAAGAGTCGCATTGATCTATTTTTCTTCTTGCCCACCCTCCATAAAATCAGGATTCTCTACTTCATCACAAAAAGAAAGGTTAGACTGGATCATCTATTCCACAAAAGACCTGTACCAGCCTCACCTTCACACAACTTCACTGGAAAGACAATGCAATGGCTGAGCTGGAGGAGGTCATCAGAACTAATTACAGTGCTAGCTAGGATGAGGCCTGACATCCCTGGGACGCAACCTGGAAGAGAAAAGGGCTCAAGAGCTTGCCACAAAACCTGCTTAAGTGAACTCTGTTAACTTCTCTGTAAATAAAAGTAAAACATTCCTTTAAAACAAAACAAAAAGCTACTGAGGCATTAGACCCAGGGAATAAAAACTAGAATGTAACTTCCTGTCCTATCCTAAAGGTGATGAGATAAGATCACAAAAAAAAAAAAAGAATCTTTGCAGGGCCAGCCTGGTGGCACAGCCGTTAAGTTCGCATGTTCTGCTTCGGTGGCCCGGGGTTCGCCGGTTCGGAGCCCAGGTGCAGACATGGTACTGCTTGGCACGCCATGCTGTGGCAGGTATCCCACATATAAAGTAGAGGAAGATGGGTATGGATGCTAGCTCAGGGCCAGTCTTCCTCAGCAAAAAGAGGAGGATTGGTGGCAGATTTTAGCTCAGGGCTAATCTTCCTCAAAAAAAGAGAGAGAGAGGCTGGCCCCCCGTGGCTGAATGGTTAGGTTCTCGCGCTCCGCTGCAGGCAGCCCAGTGTTTCGTTGGTTCGAATCCTGGGTGCGGACATGGCACTGCTCATCAAACCACGCTGAGGCAGCGTCCCACATGCCACAACTAGAAGGAACCACAACAAAGAATATACAACTATGTACCAGGGGGCTTTGGGGAGAAAAAGGAAAAAATAAAATCTTGAGAAAAAAAAAAAAAAGAAATTGGGAGGCAAGACCGTGCAAGGATTGGCTACTTTAGGGGCTCAACAATGTCATAAGACACCCTATTCTTTCCATCCTCTGTGCTGCCATCCTCAACACTGTTTCTTGTCCTCAGGATTATCCCCCTCACCAGTCTAACACCGGGTAGAAACTGGCCATTCCTTATTACCAGGAATGGTCTAAGCGACGTTATCTTGCAGCACTGCCCCAAATTCACCAGCAGTTCGAAAGCAGGTGGAGAAGAGGGGCCTCAGACACGAGGCATAAACAGTTCCTTTATTATAAATCACCAAAGCTGATGAAACAGGAAAAATAAATACTCTTTAAACAAAAATTAAATATGGCTGCCTAAAATAACTAAAATAACACAATGGCCAATAGTTAAGCTCTCTTTTCAAATATTAGCACTCCGTGTATACATCCTTCAACCTGGTAACTTTTTATACAGTGTTTCATTTTTCCTAAACGTATATTACATTAATCACAATGTGTTTAAATTATTATGATATTACATCCATAACAATCATCTAAATACTGAAATACCATTAGAATACAACTTTGATCATTTGGGGAAATTTCCATTTCAAGTCAATGAAAAATATCCATATATTTACATATTTTACTCTTCAAGGTAGGTCACCTCCAGATTTCTTGGAATATTTTACCCTTTTCTACGAAAGTGTATGCGACTTGTAAATTCTCTGAACTTCAGTATTAAGGAGTAGTTACTCATGTTGTCTTTCCATGCTTCATATGTCCTTCTAAATTTGTCATAATAACTCTCTTTTTTCAAGTTGAAATCTGATCCAGTTTTTTTTAAATTACTGTATTTTCCCCATATTTCTCTCCAGGAGCCTTTGAATTTTTCCAAATAACTTTCTTTTTCAGATTCTTCTTTCCATATTCCTTCTCTTTTTTTCAAGGCTGTTAATTCAGCTTTAAGTAAGTTTCTGTGAATTCTCCAATAGATTTTAGAATCATGGTTTAGCCCTTTAACAAGAACAGTTTTGCCAAGGCCTCTTCTCAGAATTTCTTCATTCAGACTCACAGTAAAATACCTACCCTTGAATAGAAAATAACACAAACCAATTATTTAAGAAAATTGCTAGCATACCCATGTCATCTTTTCACTTTAAAATCAATCATTCAGCAACTTCAGACTTCCAGAGAAAAGCCAAAAACATAAAGCAAAAGGGTCCCCAAGAGCTTAAAACAGCTATTGTTAAATCCAAGAATTTCATTACTGGAAGAGATCTCGCTCAAAGTCAACTGCCTCTTATCACATATTATGTGGTTCTCCACAGGCTCACTGGTCCCCAACCTAAAGAGGCGTAGAAGCAGTAAAGTCTAAGAAGCACCTTTGGTTTGTTTGCTGTTGTTTGGAGGGGAAACGGAGCACACAAGATATGCAAAATGTCAGCGGGCCACAGCAAAAGCAACTAAAACAAATAAGAAGTAGAAAAAGGCAAAATGAACTGAATCATCACTAAAATTAGGTTCAGAATTCCAGTGCTTAGGAAGACACTGGCATGTAAATAATGTAAATACATTTTTAAAAGACTTCCCACAAAATAATTAACATGAAAATACTTCTGGCCCTTAAATCTTCATGCTTTAGGAAATTTCATTCATAGACTATCTCCCTCCTTAATGAAATGGATAAATGGGATGTTTTCCCCCCACTAATTTACAGTATAAAAGGGATCCTGCTTAGCTATTTCTATAGTCCTTGTGAGATTTTAACCTAACAAGATTAATTTTAACAAAGGGTTAATAATTTAGTAGCTTCTGGTATATGATGGTAAGGCATAAACAAATACGGTTTTAAAAAGGTTATCATATTTTTCTCAATCTTTTAAATTTTAGGAGCTCATTCCCTTAAACCAAAATCAGAATAATTAAAATTCAACCTCACACATTAGTGAAATTCAACAGATGTAAATTACCACCATACGCATATAGTATGGTGTGGTCGCCTTCTAGAAAGCAATGCGAGGTGAAGTATTTAAAGTGAAGTTTGGGCTCAGGAGCCAGAAGGAGCTGGCTTGAATACAGGCTCTCCCACTGTGCTACCCTGAGTCCCACCTGCAAATGGGAATAAAAACAATGACTCCATAGGGTCGTTTCGAGGATACATAAAAGAGACTTCTCAACTCAAAAGAGAAGATAAATACTTTTCTAAGGCCTTTGGCATCTTTTATATAATTCTATTTTTTCTATAATAAACATCTATAACTAAAATTTTATAACAAAATTTATATGTGGAACACCTGGTCTCTATATATAATCACTGTGTAGCAGTTTAAAGACAAAAAAATTCAGTCCCATTATATATTCAAGGTTCTCATGATGTGTTCATGTATAAATAATAAGAATAAAATATTGCTCGCTATTTCTTCACACTACTTACCCTATTCACCAAAAGGTAGCAAAAGAGTGTTGAATTCTCCTTTCCAAGAAGCTGGAACCATAGAAGTTGGGAAGGTTTTAGCTCTTTCTGTAACCACATCTTCCCAGTTTCAGTGAGTTCTACTCCAGCCAGCTGAACCAGCAAAACACCGCATGGCTCTTCTAAAAATGTCAGATGGGAAAGAGTTTAGCTCTAATTCCAGGCTGCAAAAACAAATTCCAAAATCATTTAGCCCCCAAAAAACAACCAAATATATTATGTTTACTTATAAATCCTCAGACTCTATGTAGGTCCATTTATTTCCATATTTAAGTCTTCTTTTAAAACAAGTATACAACAGACGGGAATAATTTCAAAAACTCATTTCAACAAGCTCTGGAATAAGATGTAGAGTTTAACCAACTTTCTTTTTTAAACCTTCCAGATTTATTTCTATGTAAATATACACATAACGCTATAGATATGTAGTTCAATAATATGGGTTCTTACTACCAAAAGAATTGTACAAACTGCTCTTTCACTTACCTTATTAAGGCTTTCTTCCCATCTCAATAAATATTGATTTACATCAACATTTTTTTATACATTTTGTGAAACTGACTTCCAGACAGAATTTTATCAATTTATATTCAAAGTAACATAGTATTAAGGTTTGTTTACCCCAACTCTTGATAAAATTTTAACCAATTTAACTTTTTAAAGATTCATATAGAACTTTTATTTTAAAAAATTTTTTTGGTGAGAGAGATTGGCCCTGAGCCAACATCTATGGCAATCTTCCTCTATTTTGTATGTGGGACACAGCCACAGCATGGCTTGATGAGTGGTGTGTAGGTCCATGCCCAGGATCTGAACCCATGAACCCCAGGCCACCAAAGCAGAGCACACGAACTTAAACACTACACCACCGGGCCAACCCCTGGCCTTTTTTTTTTTTTTTAAATGTGTGCATAAAAGATTTCTTGAACAGCTGGGAAAACGAAGGGATTCATATCACAGAAACAAGCTCTACTGTTTAGGTGAAAATATTTTATGGGTATAACTTAACCTTATTTGGTAGATTTGTTCCTGGAAGATTTGTTGTTAAATTTTTATTGACCACATCATACTTTAAATGCTCAACGGGGAATGGCTAATTTTAAAGGAATCTGGCGACCTTTTGTAGAGTGAAGAATTAAGACATTAACACTTACGGTTGATAATGTTGAATTAGAGCAAAAGCCTTGATCTCAAAGCTTTTATTGGAAGACAGTTGGTGTTCATGGCAACACTAAAGGATTGGAGAGAGACTTCAGAACCTTCATGCCACCCTTAGCTCATTATGTACCAACAATTTGAATTTATCTGATCTTTATTATATGTTCTGCCCTAATCTGTGTATTTACTGCATGACAGGTTTTTGCTAAGGGCATGATCTTCCTACTTAGATCTTTAGATACTTCTCTAACTGAAATTCTAGGACAGGTTTCAAGAAACCCATGTCCTAAGGAAAATCTTCTTCTGTTATCAAATAATACTGTATCAGGGGCTTAGCATATCTTCTTGAAAGCAAGCATATTTTTTTCCTAGCAGTTAGATAAACTTAACTTTATACTTTCGACCACTTGTATAAGAGTTCGATATACATTAAATGTATAATTTCTTTAAGAAAAAGACTAAGATTTTTTTGTCACCCATCATCCCTTTTGGAAAGTTATAAACTTTTTCTGAAATCTTGTTAAATTGGTTAAGGGTCTGGCCTGGTGGCATAGTGGTTAAGTGAGTGTCAAACAAGAGGAAGATCATGCAGACCTGAGACAAATGCTGAAGTAAATCACCACTAAGGGGTTTGTTATATTTCTGCTCCATCAGATGGGTAGGCAACTTCATGACTAAACATTCTTAAGGTTTTAAGAAAGACAGTACATCATAAAAAAAAAATGGATATACCCTGGATTTGTATAATATTGGAAGTGGATTCATGACAATTGACAACTTCATAAGAAAGGGGTATCACATATATCAAAAACATCATTTTTTTCACCATCAGGGATAGAAGTTTTGAATAATTTCCTCACTACACTGCAGGTTTTATGACTACCATAGGCTCAGACCCTCTTGTTTGCCACTCTATACTGAGACTATAAGTAGAGCCAGCATTCAGTAAGTATCTACTGAAGATACAACGTGTTCTAAAGGTTTCACATCATCAAATTTTTAAGTTGTGTGTGTGTGTGCCTCCTCGCCATACACCCCTCAGATAAGATCATGGACGGGAGGTACGTCACCGAAGAGTCATGAGGAAGGAGTCATGTTTGACGGCAGTGGAAACCACAGACCAGAACTGGAAACAGAGCACAGGTCCCCACAGCACTGCTTGTTCTACTAGGCCACGCAGCCTACTCTGATGTTGTCATCCGAACCAACTTTTTTGTTACAATGGCCTCAATTTTGGGGGCCTGGATCCTAGCCCTCTTCACAAAAAAATCGAAGTCCATTTCCAGCCTATAGGCCAGGTAGTGAAAACAGTGAAGGTACGGAAGGAGCTTTCAATTAGTAGCTATTTTGAAAGGAACATTATGCTCTACTATCTTATTGTATCATTCAAAATGGTGCTGGGTGGCAACTTTCTAGTTCTCCAACCATTTTACAGGTAAACTGATTTAACTAATCTAAGTGTAAAATGATCTCTTTCACACGAGCAATTTATGTCAGTCACAAAAAAGTATTAACGCTATCATCACACTTGTAGTGGTCAACATCTGTTAAGAAACATAACACAAACATCCATCTACTTTAACTTTTGCATTTCTAAACATGGAAATCTGGACTAGGTAGGAGAAATCTGTTTTCCAGCTCTGATATCATGAGTTATTAGGTAGATGGCTGTGCACACGGCATTTCACCTCTACAGAAGATATTCAAATAAGTAGGGGAGAAAAGTCAGGTTGGAATTAAGGCTTCCTGAGGCTCCTTTCAGCTCTAATATTTTGATTCTATGCACCAAGTAGACAAACATTATTATTCGATATGAAGCCCGTTAATGACACGCAGGTATCGCAATTACAGTGCTGTGCACCGCATGGCTTCTGGGGATTCCTGCGGAGTCTCGTCCTCAGAGCTGTGCAGTGTACTTACTACTTCAGATATGAGGGATTTAATTACAACCGAGAAGCTAGAGGACTGGTGAGGCGTAAACCCTGGTTAGAGCTGAAATGGCCAACAAATACACATCGTAGGGAATCTCTCTTCCGGGAACGACAGTCGTTCAAACCACACAAGTTCTGTGTGATGTGTTCAAGAGTCAATCATGTCAGGTGTGTCTGGGTAAAAGAATCTCTTATTCCTTTAGTCTTATCTCATTGAACAGAGTGGTATTCATTCATCTGAGGGTTAAAAAAAACCCTTTTCTTCACAAAATTAAAATACTATTAACAAGTCTCTATTGGCTAATGATTATTTTTTCTAGGGACTGTGAATAATGAGATAGGAAAAGGTGCCTGCCCACCAGGGCTCACAGTTTAGTGGGAGGATAGAAACCTAAAGCATAATTATAGGAAAACGTGCATAAGTACTGTAGCTGTGGTGTGTATCTGCTGCTGTGGGGCACAGTAGAGAAGGGCTAATTCTGCTTGGGAGTTAAGAAAAGCTTCACAGAAGAGCTGACGTTTGAGCTGGATCCTGGAGAATCAACCCAAGTTCAACAGGAGCCAAGGCCTCTCAGCACCAAGGGAGCTGGGGGAAGGGGCTGAGGGACAGGAGAAGAGTGTGAGCAGCAGGAAGGTCTGACAGGAAGCAGGGAGAAACAGGAATCGCAGCAGGAAAGAGCTGGCCCCTGCCCAGCTCTGCAGCCTCCGGTGCTGCCTCCCGCCCCTTTCTTCTGTGTGCCCCAGCCTTAGCAGAAGAGCCAAGCTCGATCCCACACATGTTCTTCCGAGCTGCCTCCCTCACTCTTCAGGTCTCTAAGCAGCAACTCCTCAGTGACCTCTGACCACTCTAGATGTGCAGGTCCCCCTTCACATAACTCGTAATTCTCACCCCAGCACTCTGTTTCTTGTCTTTGTAGCTCTTAGGACAATTTCTGTTTTGCTTGCTGCCCATCTTCCCCTAGATTATAAGCTCCAGGGGAAAGTGGTGTTGCTTGTTTCACTCTGCACAGGCAGGCACAGGGCAAGGACATAACAGGTACTCCATGTTTGCTGAACGAATGCTGGAACACCTGAATGAAATACCGAATGGGTGAATAAAAAAAGGACGGAAGGAAGACAGGAAATCTGGAGCCAATTAAATAGTTCCTTGTACATAAGGTGAAGACTTTGGACTTTCTCTCATTGACAGTGAAGAGTTAGTAAAAATTAAAACGATATTTTTGTTATTTTATAAATAACTTCTAACAAAAGAACACTAAAATACTTATTTAATCATCTTATTCTTGCACCTTACTTACTTCTCCATGAAGATATAATAGGTAAAGTAATAGGAATATGCTCAATTTCTAAACCACTGTCGGTTATTCGGCGTAATCGTCCACGTAGTTTAACATTCCTTCTTATAAATTCCACTGGAATTTCTGAAGAACTCGTAAATTTTGAAGTCTGTTGATTTACAAGGAGAAAAATACAACATTTTATTATTATTTTCATATAAAGTATGTCAAATTATCTCAACATTCAACAAGGAGATATAACCAGTGAAAAATTTTAATTTGGTTCTTAATATTTTAATGATTTAATCAAAAGTTTTATGGGGCCAGCCTGGTGGCACAGCAGTTAAGTGCGCACATTCCACTTTGGTGGCCCGGGGTTTACTGGTTTGAATCCCGGGTGTGGACATGGCACCACTTGGCAAGCCATGTTATGGTAGGCGCCCCACATGTAAAGTAGAGGAAGATGGGCACGGATGTTAGCTCAGGGCCAGTCTTCCTGAGCAAAAAGAGCAGGATTGGCAGCAGATGTTAGCTCAGGGCTAATCTTCCTCAAAAAGAAAAAAAAAGTTTTATAGCAACATTATCTAGAAACCTTTAGTCACTATTTTACTATTTCAAGCTACCACATATACAACGTTAAACAGACTCCTAACTTCTAAAAGGCTCACATTCTCAAAATATGACACAATTTATCAAAAAGCAGGGAGTATCTATCCGTGCCTGGCACCACACAAATCTGGTAAAATAGTCACTATCCTATCCTATATATGGACAGTCCATTCATGCAGGTAGACCTGGGAAACCTAAACAACCCTGAGTCAAATTAAGTTAGAATTCTTAATCAATTAGATTTATTTTCTTATTTTTTATCCCACAGGAGAAAAAAGCCAACATGAGGAATTGACTTAAATACCTACCACTTAGGTAACACCCTGGGGATAGTCAACACTTTATAACTATGACTTCCACATTAAGAATACTATGGGACAGGGGCCAGCCTGGTGGTGTCGAGGGTAAGTTCTCACACTCCGCTTCAGCAGGCCAGAGTTTACAGGTTTAGATCTTGGGTGCAGACCAGTGGCAGCATCCCACATAAAAGAGAAGAAGATTGGCACAGATGTTAGCTCAGGGCCAATCTTCCTCCCCCAAAAAACCAAAACCCAAAACAAAAAAGCAATACTTTAGGACAAGCTTCATTCATGATTCATAATCATGGCTAGGTTAAGAGTAGCACATACACTGAAAGATAAGTTAGCACTCAACTTCCTAAGACAGTAAAGTTGAACTAAACATAAACCTTTTTTCAAATGTTCCACACGAGAAAAACATTGTAGTGGACAAATCCAGAATGTGGAACATTCAATGGGATAAATGACTTGTTGTTCTAACAAATCAGCGGCTTCAGGGGAAACAATGGTGATGGGACAGAATGGACTGTTATAAAATAAATGAGACTTAAGAGATACAACAAACAAATCAATATACAGACTTGAACTCTGATTTGAACAGATCTTCTATTAAAAAGAGATATCACTGAGACAATCAAGGAAATGTCAATATAAACTGGGTTTAGATGATACTAAGGGATTACTAATTAAATCAGATGTGATAACATTATAGGACAAACTGACATTATAAGCCTCTTGATGCAATATAACAGGAAGTTTACACCATTACCTACTTGTCCAAACCTAACAAGGAAACACACAAATCCAGATTATGGGACGTTCTATAAGACAAGTGGCTTGGATTCTTCAAAAATTACAGTGTCATAAAAGACAAAAATTAAAAATAATGATAAGGTGAGGGTAATACACTAGATTAAAGGAAACTAGAGACGTGACAACTAAATCAACGCATAATCCTTGGCTGAATCTTAGATTGGGGGAAAAAATAGCTATAAAGGATATTTTGAGAAAATAAATGTGAAAAAAAAAAGTGAGCAAAAATATTAAATTTATTTGTTGTGATAATATTAATGTGGTTATGTAGGAAAATATCTCTGTTCTTAGGAAGTATACTATGAAGTACTTATGGGACAAGTTTCATGTCTGCAACTGGCTTTCCAATGGTTTCAGAGAAAGAGGGACAAAGCGCAAAATGTGCCAAAACGCCTGATCTAGATGAAAAGTAGGTGAGTGTTACAGAATTCTTCTGAAGAAAATGTTGGGGGTAAAAAGATTCTGGATCTAATGTCAGCATTCATTCAAGAACATGAAATATACAGAATGTAAACAAAAAGGAGAAATTCTAAATCAAACCATGAGACTTTAAGTGAGTCACCTGACAAAAGTTGTTTATGAGCAGTTCGTGAGTTGTTTATGAACAGGAAAAACAGAGAAATGTGGGCTAAATGTCCAAATAGATGGCTCCTGTTTGGTTCTGCGTCATCACTAAGGTGGCCCTGATGAATTAGTCAACGTCAATGGGAGGGGCACTTTAGAAGGAAGCCAGGGGGCCCGACCTGGATCTGCTCCAGTTTAATATGATCACTAATGACCTGAATGAGAGCGTAAGGATCCCAGATGAGCACGGTCTGATGCTTGGAAGGGTATGAACATGGAAAGTCAGCGTTATTATTCAAGAAGATCTCAACTAGAATAATAAGTTAAAATGTAAAAGTCTGTCCCTGTACTCCCCGAAACTAAGGAAGGACAGAAGAGAATATACTAACAGTAGCATATATAAAAAGACTTAGAGCTTTAAGTTAATCGTGAACTCACAATGAGTGAAAGTGTGACAAGACTACCAAAAAAGTGCAAACTCCCTCTCCCCTCTGCTCTCCCACCCCCCACAAAGCAACATTATTAGGAGCAGGTACAGAACAAGAGAAAGGAGGGAGAGACTGCTCCAAATCAGGCCCTAAGTGGAACAGACTGTCCAGTTCTGCATATCACATTTCATAAAAGACTTCAACAAACTGGAACAATGCCAGAAGAGGGGAAAAAAAGATAGTAAAGAGCCTGGAAAACACATCACTTAAGAAAACCAAGAGCATTTTACACAGGGAAGGCAAGTCTTAGAAGGAGTAGAGAGGGCCATTAAAGATATCTTCAAGGGGCACCAGCCCCGTGGGCTATTGGTTAAGTTGAGTGTGCTCCACTTTGGTGGGCTGGGTTTGGTTCCAGGGTGCAGACGTACACCACTCATCGGTGGCCATACTGTTGCAGCAACCCACATACAAAATAGAGGAAGACTGGCATAGATGTCAGCTCAGGGTGAATCTTCCTCAGCAAAAAAAAAAAAAAAAAAAGAGATGTCTTCAATTACTAAAAGTCTATCCCTTTTAATTCTGAGGTGTTTTCATTAAAGGGTATACATAAAATGACAGAAGACTGCCCTGATTTTTCAATTTTCAGAAATTACAAAAGAGCTAAGGGAGGAAACTGAAAGAGAATCCAAAGTTGCTACTCTCAAGGAGCTCACAGTCTGTGTGAAGAATCTAGAAAGGCAGATCCCACCGCATCTTCCTCTCTGGATCAATAATCCCTCCACAGCAGAAAGCTCAGTGCTGTGCTTCTAGGACAAGGCAGGCACCGTCTGGAAGATGAAGAAACAATGTACGCAAAACCAGAATACAGCTGCGGAGCAACAAAAGACTAGCTTTAACACAAAGTGTAAGCACTAAGGGGTCAAAAGTGGAAAGCACAGACATCTTTAAAGGAAGTGAGAGGCTGGCCTGGTGGCACAGTGGTTAAGTTCACACCTTCCGCTTCAGCAGCCCGGAGTTCGCCGGTTCGGATCCTGGGTGCAGAAATGGCACCACTTGGCAAAAGCCATGCTGTGGCAGGCGTCCCGCATATAAAGTAGAGGAAGATGGGCATGGATGTGAGCTCAGGGCCACATAAATAAATAAAGGAAGTGAAGCCTGAGCTTGTAATAAACAGTCTGCTCTCTAGAAGAAGCAGAAAAATGATGCCACTAACAAGGATGCTTCAGTGGTGAAGGACATGTCCTAAAGACAAACAGACAAAGCTGGAAGCATGACGGTGTAGAGAAAATAATAGGGGCTCTAAATTCAGGAAGACGTAATTTGAAATCCAGTTCTGCCATGTACTAGCTGGATGATCTTTTGAAAATTGTTTAACTTCTTTGAGCATCCATCTCCTCATCTATAAAAATTAGGTGTCAGAATACCTGTATCACAGGATTATTATAAATATTCAATGAAATTATGTATATAAAGTGTTTCCCACAGCACCAAACTCAATAATCCTTTAAATTTATTTTTTACTTTTTTCTTTTGAGGAAGATTAGCCCTGAGCTAACATCTGCTGCCAATCCTCCTCTTTTTGCTGAGGAAGACTGGCCTTGAGCTAACATCTGTGCCCATCTTCCTCCACTTTATATGTGGGATGCCTACCACAGCATGGCGTGCCAAGCAGTGTCAGTCTGCACCCAGGATCCAAACCAGCGAACCCCAGGCTGCCAAAGCAGAGTGTGTGAACTTAACCACTATGCCACTGGGTTGGCCCTAATAATCTTTTTTACTTTTTAAATATGAAATCTGGAGTTGTCTACCAATAACCGAAAGAATACAAAAGCTTGATAAGGTCTCAGAGGGAGGAAGACGGGGAGAAAAACAGCAATACAAAAAGAAAGCTGAGGAGGAGCTATCAAGGCTCCTTGTGGCAGGCCCTTGGTTGGTTAATGCAGTATCCATTCCCAAGCCCCTTCTCCCTTGCCAGCACCATGCACTCTAAGGGATAGAAAAGCTAAATGGCTGCTTTCCCAGCCTTCTTTCCACCTAGAGATGGCCATGTGACAACAGAATGTAAGCAAAAGTCTCCTGAGCCTTCTGAGAAAGTTTTTGCTTTCTTGCTAACAGAAAAAGATGTAGCTGGCACCTTTCCTTTCCCTCTTCTGCCACCTTGAATGCTATCTGGAGCTACAGCAGCCATTCTATGCCATGAAGAAAGGCCAAGAGAATCAGACTGATCTAAACTGTGTCACTGAGCCAGGAAAGCAATGCCAGCAGCCTCCGACCTCCAGAGTTCTTGCGACATGAGAAAAATAAACTGTTTATCAGGTTAAGCCACCACTGGTTGGGGTTTCTCTTACTTGTCACCAAACTCCTTCAACTGTAATACAACAGAGTTATTTATCCCCTACTGTTCCAATGTTCTTTTTCTAACCCCTTAGCTTGCTCTTCTCATCACTGGTTAGTCACTATTATTAAAAACCATAAAATCTAAGGAAAAAAAGACACCAGAACTATAGTCTAAAATTAATAACTTCATAACATACTAATATAAATTTGTATCAATCAATAAACAAATTGCATAAACCAACAACACATCTAGTATTGCATAAGCAGGACTGGGTCACGAAAGTTAATGAGAATAAAAATGAAAATAATAAACAGTAACTCACTCTGGTTTTAATATTACCAAAGTGAAGTACTGAACTATATACTGAAAACAACAAAGAACTTAAAATGACCCATAAGTGACACGTGAGTTTTCTAAGGACTGACAAGAGAAATGATCCCTCAGCATTATTTTTACCTAAACTCTTAATGAAATCATTTATGATTTTGGCAATTGTGAAAGCTTAAAAATACAAATATCATGGGACATATAGATTATAAAATAAAGAAAAAAGTAGAATGAAAAGAATAAATTTTCAAAAGTTCCATTCTAGAAATATATATATACAAGCTAAAAATGAGAGACTTACAAAATCATGGAGGTGTTATAAGCGCCTACTATATTATAAGATTAAAATGAGTTCAAGGCATTAAAAAAAAAAAGATAAGTGTTCTGACATTGGAGTCAGGGGAAAAAGGCAACAGTTGGAAAAGATGTAGAATATTGAGTAATGCTATGTAGCCAATGATAACACTGAAAGAATAGAGAGATGATAAACGTAGGAAATGAATATACATAGAAGCAATAAATCCATGCCAGATGGTAACATGACACTACAATTACATCCTAGTGCAAGAACCTGTTAAATGAAAAAATACTACTAAATCTTGAACTACCGAATGGATTTCCGCAATGTCTCTTATTAAAACATTATTGAGGGGTCGGCCCGTGACCGAGTGGTTAAGCTTGCATGCTCCACTGCAGCGGCCCAGGGTTTCACTGGTTCAGATCCTGGTCGCAGACATGGCACCGCTCATCAAGCCATGCTGAGGCAGCGTCCCACATGCCACAACTGGAAGGACTCACAACTGAAAACACACAACTATGTACTAGGGGGCTTTGGAAAGAGAAAGCAAAAATAAAATCTTTAAAAAAAATAAAAATAAAAATAAAAATAAAACATTATTGAGAAGCCAGCACCATGGCAGAGTGGTTAAGTTCTCTCGCTCTGCTTCAGAGGCCCAGGGTTTCCCAGGTGTGGATCCCAGGCATGCACGTAGCATGGCTCATCAGGCCATGCTGAGGCAGTGTCCCACAGGCAGAGCTGGAAGGACCTACAATTAGAATATATAACTATGTACTGGGGGGTTTTGAGGAGAAGAAGAAAAAAAAAAACATTACTGAAAGTGAAAAAGAAAACATGGCAATGGAAAACACAAATTATTATTTTTTTTACATTGTACATCTTGTCTGATTCATAAAACAATAGATCTTACAGATTGCTGGAAATCAGAGAAGGTATAAATTGTTCAGCGCTAAGGAACACAGTTCAACTGTGATCTAAATCTGAACCACTACAGAAAACAGTTTTGAGATATTTCACAACGTCTGCAACGCAAATTTGTGATTCCACCATTCTAGGAAACTAAATCCTTTTCAGATTCCTTTTTGAGCAGGAAGACAAGTGATTATGGAAATGTGGGCTGTGCAACCACTTTCCTTAAATCCTATGGATGTGTTACTTTTAAACCAAGATCTTAAAATATACTCATTGATCTAAAATACTATTTAAAAGTTAATAATGTGAATAACAAAATGATGCACTGCTTGAGATAATACCTGTCCGAAGCGAGAAATGATTAACTGTCGAACGCTCACCATAACGGCTTCTCCCTTCTGAACTTACCAGTCGAACACTTCTTAGAAGTAACACCATCCCAGCTGCGGCCATTACGGTGCTGATGTTCTGCAAAAAGAGATTTTACGATTAATTCTAATTATTATTCACATAAAGTATTCACATAAGGTATCAAAGTACTAATTAGAGGGGGAAAAGAAGACCGTCCCCCCATATCTAACAGTCCAAATAAGGCACATCCTTCAACTAAAGGCCCCTTTCTTCCAAACGCCTTTCTTCACCGCCCGCTACTCCGGAGTCTTCTCCTTTCCTCCCAGGCGGCTGCGCCTCCAGCAGCCACACCGCCAGCCTCCTCCCCCGGACAGGCCTCGCGCGGCGCGCACAGCCCGCAGCGGGAGTCTGCGCGTTCGCTAGAACAGACCACCACCAACACCTTAAGGGGCAGCCCCGCGGGAGACACGTGCGGGTGAACAGTCGGGAAAGGAGCGATGTTTTTAAGATGAAACAGACCCAAAAGGTTAATTAGAAACAGGAGCTGCGCAGCACCCTCCCCAAGAGCGAGCCTCACACGCTTTCCTTCCAGGAACAGAGCCAGGCACGGGGGTGACACGCACAGGGCTGCCCCGGGCTGAGCCGCTCGGCGCTGACGCGTCCCGACCCGGAGCCCCGAGGCTCCGACGGGCGCTGCGATCCGGCGTCGCCTGACCGGGCGACCGGCCGACCACCCGGTCCCCGGCGGGAGGGCGCGGCGGTCCCGTCCCGGGAGACGCCCCCCGCCGGCCTGCCGCGCTCGCGCCCGAGTCCCCGTCGGAGCCCCGCGCCGCGGCCCGCCCCGCACGCTGCGCCGCGCCCAGCGCCCGCCGGTGCCCGGCCGTCTGTACCCAGACCAGGCGCAGGTGGTCGTCCGCCCACTGCGACACGCGCGCCACCGCGTTGGGCGCCGCAGCGGCCTCGCCGGGCTCCGAGGAGGGAGCCGCGGAGCGCGCCGCCATCTTCCCGGCCTCCCGCGCGCTGGCGCCGCGTTCCCCGCCCCCTGCCCCCTGCCCCCGGCGCACGACGGCGGGGGCGCCGCCGGGGGGCTGGGACGGACGACGGCTGGGGCGCCGCCGGGGACGTGGGACGGACGACGGCTCGGGAGGGTGGTGGTCCTCTAGGCGACAGACGACTGAGGGCTCTTTGCGCCGTGGGCGGGTGGGGGCTCCTCCCTGGCGGACAGAGGCCCCTGTCCGCGTTCTCGGCGGGGACAAACGCCCCCTGTCGCTCCTGCGGTCGCCCGTGGCCGGGCCTCCCAGGCGGCGGTGGGTCTGGACCACAGGAGCCCCGAGCATCTGTGCTGGCGCGGGGGCCCGGCCGCGCTGGCGGGAGTGTCCCTCCGTGACTCGGTTCACCCGGCGGCGCGGGCTCCTCGGCGGTGCCGCCCCCGACCCCCACGTGGCGCGGGTAACCGTGTGGGCTTCTCGAGTTTGAATCCAGCTTCTGGATTGTCGCACAAAGGCCCCGGAGGCTGATGTCAGACGCTGTAAATCTTGGAACTGTTCCTTGATTGAATGTAGGGAACTGCTGTCAAGAAATCAGTACCTGGATAACTTTATGGTGATCATTTTCCTGTATATACATATAATCAAATCACTATGTTGTATACCTAAAACTAACACGTTATATGTCAATTGTATCTCTAAGAAAGGAAATCAATACAGTTAGTATATTTTAAAATAAACAAAAATAGAGTGGACAGTGCAAATGATACAGTAACACGTGTATGTAAGCAAAAATGTGTCTGAACCATGAAAGTTATGCAAGAAACCTGTTGCGGTGATTGCCCTGGAGAGAGATGGGGGCCGGAATGGAAGGGAGGGTCACTACTGGCCGGCTCTAAGCGAACATTTTGCAATGATGCACCGTCCAATTTCATAGCCACGTGTGGCTACTATGTGCTTGAAATGTAGCTAGTGCAACTGAGGAACAGAGTTTTTAATTTTATTAACTTTAACTTAAATAGTCACATGTGGCTAGTGGCTACCGTATTGGACTGTGCAGGTATAGTGTTTGAATTTTTTTTTTACCTTATTCATATATTACCTTTAAAAGTCAAAACAGAGTATGTTGTATTTCTCAAGACCATACTATGAGTAGTGCCTTCAAGGAACGTATAGTCTTGCTTCTGCAGCCAATGGAAAGTAAACGATAGGGGCCTGCCTGGTGGCCCAGCGGGTACGTATCCATGTTCTCCTTCGCTGGCCCATGGTTTGCTGATCCCGGGTGCGGACATGGCACCCCTTGGCAAGCCACGCTGTGGTAGATGTCCCACATATAAAAAGTAGAGGAAGATGGGCAGGATGTTACCTCAGAGCTAACCTTCCTCAAAAAAGAAAGAAAGAAAGAAAGAAAGAAAGTAAACAATGATAGCTACCACTTAGATCTTGCTTACTATGTGCCAAGTGGTTCACTGTTCTAAATACTTTTCATATAACTCCCTTAATCCTCACAGCAACTTTATGAGGTAGACACTATTATTAATCCCAATTTTAAAGAGGAAAACCCACACAATGATTAAGCCAAAGGCCAAGGTCACCAGCCAAGAAGTGGTGAGCCAGGGTGTTGTGCTGGGATTCCACTCAGCCAGGGGTCTATGTCTGTGCACTTACCCACAACACTGACTCCCATAAGGGCAATCGCTAAATCACATAAATCCCTATTAAATGTCCAGTGAGGGTGCAACTCAAATGATATTGGGAGACTCCACCTAAAAACATGCGCTAAAACCGAAATTTCAAATAAAAACAAAAATTGTGTATATTAATAGATTTTTAATAGCTTCAGTTAGTAAATGGAAAGAAGATTTCTTGATGGGCAGTTATATGCCTAATTCTGCTGCTTTTGGTTTTCCAATGTGCTGTATCTCTTCCCTCCTTTCTGCTCCCACTCTCACTGTCCTAGGTGAAGACAGCTCAGTTCGTTCTCCCTACTTTCCATTCCAAAGTCTTTTTGTCTAGACCCCATGTGAAATGATTGTGACAACTGCCTACAACCTTAATCCCTCTTCCCTTTTATTCTCCCTGCCCCACCCTCACCACCACCACGCTGGCTCCTCATCCTTCAGGTCTCAGTTGAAATATCATAGCTACAAAGAGCTCTTTTATAAACACTCTATCTCAAGTAGATTCTCACCATACACAACATTACATTTAATTTGTAATTTTACGGACTTTCTTTTCATTCTCTTCCTGCCCCACTAGCCAACAGGTGAGGGACTGTGTGTCCCTTACTGTCTGTGTCTATGACTGAACAGCCACTGCTGAGTGTAGTTCCGGATTCACAGGAGAAACTTGCTAAGTTCTAGCTGAAGGAGACATACCCTTTTCAGTTCTTTACCTCTCCCCACCTCCTCTATTTTGTCCTCCTCCTTTCTGTTTTCTTTCAGACCAATTCAGTCCTGCAGCCATTAGGGAGTAGCATGCACCCCAAGTTCACAGGAAGAATTATAGAGTACCAGTAAAGGCAGTTACATGGATAAATATAAAAAGCTATATATGGGCCCTCCTGGTGGCGCAGCAGTTAAGTTCGCACGTTCTGCTTCAGCGGCCCCAGGTTCACCAGTTCAGATCCTGGGTATGGACTTATGTACCACTTGTCAAGCCATGCTGTGGTAGGCATCCCACATATAAAGTAGGGCATGGATGTTAGCTCAGGGCCAGTCTTCCTCAGCAAAAAAGAGGAGGATTGGTAGCAGACGTTAGCTCAGGGCTAATCTTCCTCAAAGAAAAAAAACTGTACAAATGCATTTTTGTTTATAATTCTTTCCTTGTATGATTTAAAAGACAACTGGATAAAGCAGTAATCACAAAACTATGTTGATGGGCTTTTAATATATAAAGGTATAACTTGTATGACAATAGCACAAAGGAGGAAGGACAGGAACAGAACTATATTGGAGCAAAGTTTTTGAATACTATTAAAGTTGATTTGTGCACTTCACTATATGTAAATTATACCTGGATTTTTTTGAAATGGGGTGGAGGGAAGAGTTTGAATAGTATAAGGACACTTGTAGAAATTAGGAACCCTGGAACCTCAAGCCAATTATCAGATGATGACCAGGAATCGCAGTAGAGCTAGGTCTCATGTGGGGAATGTAGTCTGGGAACCAAAAAGTAGTTCAGGAGCTAATATAGCTCCACTGAGTTAGCCACCAACACTGCCCGCTTCCTCAGCAGCAGAAGTGCATTGATCCCTACAAATATTACTATTAATCTAGCTCCAGCAACTCGATTTCTGCCTCCCTGTGTATTTCTTGCTCTCCTTCCACGGCCAACACACACTTTGTGTCTCCCCTACACAACCTCCTCAGAAACTCTGATCGGTCCAAGTATTATCATCCTTATCAAGCAGTTTTCATGCCAAGACACCTAGTGGACTGACAGCTGGCCTATAAATTGCCCATCTTTCAGTCAGGAGTTCACCCCTCTAGCACAATCGGCTGAAGTCTGTAGGACAAGGTTAAGTGGCCCAAAATGCAGCCATTTAATTTTAAGGAAAAAAGCTGGTGTTGCTTTGCTAAGCCTGGGTCCCTGTGTGTGACATCTGCTGTCAGAAAGGGATGTGAAAGGCACATCAGAGATGCAACCTCCTCTCCAGAGCATTCTCCTAAACAGAATTAACCTTTGTCTCCTCAGCCCTTTCATCGCCCTTTCTTTGCAGTAAATTATGAATCTCTAAAGGAGAAAGACATGTCAAGAAATTTTTATTCTTTCCACAGTGAACATTTTGCAGAAAGATAATCAGCGAATTTGTTGAATCAAAGTAAGAATCAAAGACTATAAGAGAGTCACCAACATAATAAGGACAACCCATAGATACTTTAATGTAGCTTGTAGTCTTTATATCATTCATTTAAGAATTAAATATCCATACAGTATTGTCCTATTTGTAGTCCATTGCTCTGCCATTCCATTCTCTCATGTAATAAGCCTAATTTAGAAAACTGCATGGTAAAACTCGGCACTGTTTCCTCCTGGGGTCACCACTACAGTGCTCAGCGCTTTTTAAATTTATACACACAGTTTACCTTCACTTCAGGGTATTTCAGTCTGGCAATTAAGTCTATATAAGGAATTTCTGGCAGGTCATTGCAAATTATATACAGACAAAATCTGAACTATATTAACATACATTGCTTGTTTTAGCCTTTGTGGTCGGACACTAGTTGTTTCAGTTGAGCTCTTTTGTTGGCCCAGAGCAGAGCTTTGCTTTGTTTCTTTCCAGTCAGAGAGCTGTGCAAGTGTTAATGTCTGGAGCAGAAGTGGGAAAGGGGGGAGGCCCACAGAAAGGGCCCTGCAGCTTTGGGAATCAGTCTTCAGGGATCCGTGACTCCTACTGCTCAGACTTCACCACATGACCTTGCTTTTTTCCCTTCTTCCATCTACACTTTCCTCCTTTTTTTCCTTCCTACTGTGAGAATGGCTTCCTTACCCTCGTCTCTATCACTAAGGTGACCAAACAATTT